CTTTCCACGGTGTAACACAAATGGAAGAACCCTCAGTTCTGCAGTATGACCTCCATGATTCCTGCTGCGCTCACCCCCCAGGGCCTCTTCAGCACAGCAGATGGCTAAAGCACCAGCCATCCACGGTTATTAAGACCAACAGTGTCCCTGCGGCTCTGAGGACAATCAACACCTCTCTCTCTTTCTCTTCACAACTTTCTCTTCACCTTAGACAATCTGCTTTGACTCCAGCACTCCGTGTCCGCTGGCGCAGGTGGTAAGAGGTGTTAGCAGCCATTTTCAGAACGCCGCTCTGACTAAAACGCATCTCACACTTGCTATCCGAGAGCAATCAGCCCACGTTCGTCTTCCTCTCTCGGGTTACCAGGTTTCCTCCTCACCACACAGTGCTAAATCCATTAAAATGCGAAATCAATGAGACATTAAGAGATCTTTGCATAAAAGCAGATTGTGCTGGCGGCGGTTAGACGTATTTAAAGTAGAGCACATCAGAGAGAAAGTTCCAGAAGACCATAATTTGCTCGCATAAGATGAGGCAGAGAGAAAGCAGCAGCAGTTAAAGTTCATGCGCTGTCAGACTCCATTTGAAAACGTTGACTCTCTCTCTCCCTCATCTGGGGATTTTTAAATTGATCTTAATGCTAAACAGCCCCCCAAGAACATTTACAGAAACACACATAAGTTGGCTAGTGTGCTCATTAAGATACGAAAAAGCTGACATCTGTTAAAACACATCAGAGTGACACTCAAAACACACACTTGACACGACTAAAAGCAAGAGTTTGCTGTAAGTATAGTCAGATGGCAGAGAGAAATCTAATAAACACTGCTATGGAGGTATGGCGATCCATTACACACACAGGATGATCTGTCTTATATTACACTGCATGCGGAGAAATCATTAGCATCCTGTTGGAAACATGTGGTGGGCCGTGTCCTCTGTCCTGTAATGAGAGCTACTTAAACCAAAATGACCACAGACATAGATGAAGTTATAGTTCATGTAAATAACAAATATAATAAAATAAAAATAATACACCAAAAACTAATATCAGGCATTGTAAATGCTACAAATGAATTTAGGCATCACAACATTACAATGCACAGTATAAAAATTTGTATTCATTTTGAGATTTCCTAAAGGTTATATTTAACAGGGTTATTAAATTATTAGCGTTTAAAAGCTAATTGAGTGTTTGATGGCATCTAAAGGTAATCTAAATGTAAAACTAGGAGAAAAGTCAGTGCTATGTTTCTTAACAAACTACACAGACACACTCACTGAAAACATACAAATAAAAAAAAATTATAGAAATAATATATAGGCTAAGTAATATTAAAATAATATTAAAACGAGTATTATATATCTGATATTGGCTAATATATCCATTATGATCTGCTACAATCAATTTAAAATATATTGAATATTGCCAAATTATCGTAAAAGTTATATATCATAAATCTTTGTAAACAACAGCAAAGACTTCACTGGAAAGTGCTTGTAGACTTTGGGGTCACAATTTCCATCCCAAAGTGAGAATTATTTTACAAACTAAGTTTAGTTAAGGGATGTTCTGATTACTTGCTCTACACTCTTGATATCTTACTAATATTTGGTGTTGAAAGCATGTTTGTTCTCTCAGCAGAGCAATGAAAACCTGTGCACCTTACTCCTAGAAAAAAAGCCAGCCAATCAGATTCGAGTTGGCCATTTTAAACAGGTTTTTTTATTGCACAAAATGCATCAGATGATCCAAATCTGAGACTAGCGTCTGCATGTTTGACACCGCAGAGGCTTCTCTTGTTTCGTCCCATAGCAGGATGAGTTTGCATCATCATTAAGTAAAACAGAGACATCAGCCTCAATTCTTTTCCAGATTCTCTCACATCTGTCGGAGCGAATTAAGCTCTAGGAGCCGCCACACCAGGGAACGGAGTGAGTGCCACACTCAGCTGAGATGAGCATATGTTTCTTCTCTAAAGTGTTGGCTCTACAGGGTGTGCTGAGACTTGGATGATTTTCTGCGGTGTGTGTGTGTGCGTGCGTGCGTGATCGTGTGCGAAAGCGAGTGGGTGTTTTGTTAACACAGAGGTCAGACTGTCCCAGAGCCAGAGACTCAGTTATCACAGCACTGCCCCCTTCAGACTCCTGATGGAATTGCAGGATGCCATGAAGCCCGGGAGCTTGTCCAGATTTAGCAGCGCCTGGGTGTTGTGGTCACACTGTGACGTAAGAGTTCTCTAGAGAGCGCAGGTGTATGTGTGTTTCTCCGTCTGAAATCTGCAGTGACAAATGGCTCCTGATGGCTGATTTGTCGGCGGTCTTTTCTTCTTTGTTTTCAAGATCACTCTCCAGACAACAAACACACACACACACACACTTCTGCTCTCAATATTAGCAAACTGACACAAGCTGCTTCTACAAGAACAGAGAAAGAACAGAGAGATAGATGTTCAGATCAAAAGCAATTTGGAGATTTGAAGTGGCATGAGCGAAAGTTCACCTTTATGCAAATGAGCAGTGACGTGTGTGATCCGTTTCTTTTAATGCTGCATACTGCAGTGCAAACAACAGTATGACTTCAGGCGATTCGATGATTGGCTAACCTCTTTGCATATATAATGGACTATAAATGATCATCAAACACTATATTACAGTCCTGTGTTACGAGTGTGTCCTCAGTTTCTGAGCAGTGTGTGTTTGTGTTGTATGGTCTTTTATCTCCTCATATCACTGGAGCGTCCACATACTGCTACAGTCTGCTGTGCTTGACCTTTGACCTCACGCTTTTATTCTGATGCCCAGCTGACTGCTGGAGGAGAGAATAGCCCTGCGTAGATCTTTCATCTTTTAAAAGGTGGAGATAAGAATTAAGGTCAGGACAAAATACAGCACTGCCTTTGAAAAATGACTCCAGTAATTTTCTTGTGTGGAAGGCAAGAGATTTGGGGTTGTTTCCTTCTGTATGTGCAGGACATACAAAACACCTCTGTTTCTCCAGAACTAAAAAAACTTTTATTGCTCAGAGCATTTGATGTAGTGCTCAGTTACGTTTCATTTCATGAATTTTAGGAAAAACATTGAAACTATTTTGAATATATATATATATATATATATGTATGTATGTGTGTATATATATGTATCTAAAGCAATTGGATTTTTTTCTTTAACTTTTATTTATCATTATGTATAGTCGTTTGTGTTTTTCCCACCTCCTCATCAGCCAGTTTAGAAATAGCATGTTTCATAACTCGTAACAGTGGTGTAGGTGTGAGAGTATACAGTATGAAGAAAGCACATGCCTCATTAAAGTGCTAGACTACACAAATACACAAACACCAACCATTAGCAGCATCTGGACACATTTTATTAGGGGTACTCCGATCAGGATTTTTGAGGCCGATGACAGAAAGCAGTATCTGCTGATACCGATCACTGATACCGATCTTTTTAAAGCCTTCGTTTTATCATTTATAACTATTTATAGTGATACTCCAATCAGGATTTTTAGACATTTATTCAGGGCCTGAATTTCATTTTTGAAAGTGGGGGGACAAAAAGCCATATGTGTTGACTGTGAAACACAGTAGACTTTAATAATATGCATTTATGGTTACTTTAATTCATTGCTTGCAGTGCAGCAAAAATAGACTCGGTGTGGAAACCATCTCTGCACTGCTGCAGACGCACCGCTCGTTGAACGCACTGCTGGTCTGCAACGGTGTGCAGTGTGCGCGCTTTATTAATCCGTTAACATGAGCGCGGAAAAAATACGCACCACATACCCACTGCAAACGGAGTAATGTGAACCTGGCATTATGTGTGTGCGCTGCGAGTGTGCATGAGCGCACGGTCTCCAGAAGAGCGCACAAGCGCTGAATGGTTAAACACTGGCAAGAATTTAAAAGTAATGCAATTTATTCATTTTAGTGACGATGTGACACTGCCTCGATTGTGCAAGTGACAATTCCTGTGTCAACTGTGCAGCTCGCTTATAGACAGACGCGATGTGGTGATTTGAAGACATTTGCGTATTTTGAGAGAGCGCATGTGTGGTCATTCACTCTCGCTGTCTCACACAATGTACCTCACCTTCAGCATTATAATGATTTCACCCGCGCCGGACAGAGACTGAGATGGTGCCGCTGCATGTCATGCCAAATCTCTCATGGCAACGTCCTCAGCTTGAGATCGGCCTTTTTAGAGACCGCCGATCAATCATCCCAACATGATTATCGGCTGATAATGATCGGTAGCCGATCAATCGGAGCACCCCTACTTTTATGCAGTCTCATTCAATCAATCCTCTGCTTCTCTGCGAGTCTCTGTAGCACACAGCTCTTGTGAAATTATCAGAATGGTGTTTGTGTGTGCTGTGCGACTGAAAGAGCATCCTGTCTTTATAAACAAACAGTGAGTAAAGTGTTTATCTTCCTCTCTGGTTGTTTTCCTTTGTGTTCTCACCGTTGGTCTCCTCTTAACACCCAGGAATAGAAAATCATTTCCCTTCCTGAGTCACAGATTCGGCTGCAGAGAAAAGCGTTTCTCTTTCTCTCATTATAATAAAAGCACAGCCAAATCCTTGTTAAGCCTGGATGAGCTGAAAGGGTTAAACTTAATATTTCATAAATATGAAAAAAGAAGACAATCCCACGGTCAGAGACGGATTCAGGGATCTCCGGCCCTGCATTTACATTAAAACGGGAGCTTGTTATACGGTGAAATTTCAATGAAGGCACCGCAGAACGCATTTAATGAAATTCAGATGTGGCTCTATGAATCTCATTAACAGTCTTTGTGCTTTTCTGCTGTCCGATTTCCCCCTCGTCTGCCCGGTCGCGAGAGAGATTTCATCAGCGCCCGGCTTTCAAAAAGACAATGTCCGTTCAGATCTGAACTCCCCACGCTCTCTCCTCTGACGGAGGCCGAAATCTGTCGTAGTTTGAGTTCAAAAGGCACACGACTGACTCTTCCTCTGTTTCTGTCTCTCTTTCCACAGGCTTCGGCTTCGTAACGTTCGAGAATGAAGACATTGTAGAGAAAGTCTGTGAAATCCATTTTCACGAAATCAATAATAAAATGGTAAGTGCTTTGCCCGTTTTCAATTTCTGAAGGTGATTGAGGGATTAATATTTTATTTCCCATTTAGCAGGATCCCTAACAGCATGTGGTTGTAAGCGCTGAGAGTGTGTAAACAGTGTAAAGTGTTGGGCAGTGGCCAGAAAGCGTGAAATTGTGTGTGTGCATGTGTGTGAAAACATTTTGATCAGTCAACAAGAGTCAGAAACTTTCCCCTCCCTCCTTCATTTGTAAATGCTTGCATCATGACTGATGGGGCTAAAAAGAGAGAGAGGTAACTGGCACATGTTGAGTTCATTAAATCAGGATTATCACCCCACAGGCTGCCCAGTTTTGGACAGAACCAGCAGATGGGCCACCAGTGTTGCCTTTCAGCTTGCAAATAAATGTTTTTCCTTGAAATTAGATGGAAAATACCTAGTCTCAGCCTCATATGGGCCACCCATAGATTGTATATGCAACGTCTGATGTGCGTTGCGTAGTCACTGGATTTGTCAGGTTCAAATTTGAAAGAGATTGTATAAATATACATTATTTTTATATACATATATATGAGTTTTACTTTTACCCAACTTAAATGTTGCATAAAATGTCTAGATGGCCACCATATTGCAGATAGTCCTGTGAAGCTATTTGAGAACTTTTGTGAACAATTTAATGATTTATTATTAAATAATATTATTATATAATTTATCTATGATTAAACTCAAAATGAAATATTAATAAATTAAACTCTAAAATAAATGAATAATAATAAATGTTAAATATTAAACTCATCAAGACATTTATAAAAGGATGGTATAAAAGATTTCTAACTTAAATCAGTGCCGTTTGTTTTGAAGTTGCTATTCATTAAACAGTCCAGAAAATGTGTATCAGTTTCCACAAAAATATAAAAAGCAGCACAACTGCCTTTTCAACACTGATAATAAATATTTCTTGAGCAGCAAATCAGCACATTAGAATGATTTCTGAAGGATCATATGACACTGAAGACTGGAGAAATGACTGTTAAAAAAAGTATCTTTGCCATCACAGGAATAAAATTCATAGTACATCATCACAGTATTACTGTTTTTACTATATTTTTGATCAAATAAATGCTGAGCATAAGCATGAAAAAATCTTATTGACCCCAAACTTTTGAAAAGTAGTACATAATTAAATGTAATTTAAATAGTCATTTTTTTTATTTTGAATGCTTCGTACAAATATATGCCTGACTGAGCAGAAGCATGAGTTGATGGGAGGATGTTTTGCATGTAGAGAATTGGCCCCTGGCTCTGTGCTGCCCCTGCTGGGCGCTCTGCTGGGGTTGACAGGAGCGGTGTGGTGGAAAGGATCGGTTTGGCTGGGGTCTCCTCGGAGGATCTCTCTCACACTGATACTCATCCCTGTGCACTGTCCATGCGCATACCCTGGGCTCACCGGGCAGCTGTGGGGTAGCACAGAATATCAAACCCCTTAAGATCTTCTTCCGTCACAGACAGGTTGTTCCTGAGCCCAGAGACAGATCCGTGAGCGCAGAGCCATGCAATCGATTTTTCTCTGAGAGTCCATCATGTGGTTCTATTGTTCAGAGGCCAGCACCTCTCATTTCTATCCTGATTGTCTCCTGCAGTCCGTTCCCTGTGACTGTATAAGAACGGTACGGACACTGTTAATATAAGGTAAATAAGTAAGTGTAATAGTTGAATAGGCTGTTTGTTTATGGGAAATGACGAGACCTGATTGCTTTCTTGCTTTGCACTTTTGCTGACCAGTGGAGCTATACATGAGATTGAGGCTGTTTTATAAGTTTCTTTTTGTTTTATACTGTTTATAGGGATGCAGGGTTAGGGATGTTTGGAGGGGAGCATTTTGGATGAGATTTTTTAGTGTATTGATTGTCACAAAATATTATTATTATCATTAAGTGATTATTTTTTAAATATTATTTATTGGAAAATTGTAACACCACAGTCCCTTATGCTTCCTGTTCAGGCTTTACTTTCCAATAACTAGATGTTATTTACAGCCTGTCTAAGAGAACAAGAGATGTGAACTTCTCCCTGACCCAGAGAAACCTCATGTCGCACACCATGTGATGGTGAACCTGTTTGCCTGGCTGAACATCTCATCGGGTGTCCATCTACCACACACAGACAGAGAGATCTCAGAGAGAGAGAGAGAGAGGAAGGGGTGAACCAGAGGAGGTTTCTCCATCAATTCACCGGGTTTTAAGTCTGATTAGTCCTGCTGTCTCTCTTCAGAGCATCAGGGGTTTCTCTCTTGTTCCTGCAGTCCATAACTTTCTGACATGCTAGCCAACAGCAGCCAGATTATTCTTGTTTATACTTGTTTTGTTCACATAACTATAACTATAGCCACAACTATAAAGATACTATACTATGTTAGCATCCACACCATCACATGATAAACGCTGTTGATTATAAGTGTGCGCCGAGTTAATTTTGCCTGCAGCTTTAAATGCTCAAGCTCTTTAAAGCAGGACTCATTCTGATTGGCTGTCAATGTTTTTATAGTTCATCAGCTGGATAAATAATAATAAACGTTACACTGTTTATAGGGATGCAGGGTTAGGGATGTTTGGAGGGGAGCATTTTGGATGAGATTTTTTAGTGTATTGATTGTCACAAAATATTATTATTATCATTAAGTGATTATTTTTTAAATATTATTTATTGGAAAATTGTAACACCACAGTCCCTTATGCTTCCTGTTCAGGCTTTACTTTCCAATAACTAGATGTTATTTACAGCCTGTCTAAGAGAACAAGAGATGTGAACTTCTCCCTGACCCAGAGAAACCTCATGTCGCACACCATGTGATGGTGAACCTGTTTGCCTGGCTGAACATCTCATCGGGTGTCCATCTACCACACACAGACAGAGAGATCTCAGAGAGAGAGAGAGAGAGAGAGAGGAAGGGGTGAACCAGAGGAGGTTTCTCCATCAATTCACCGGGTTTTTAAGTCTGATTAGTCCTGCTGTCTCTCTTCAGAGCATCAGGGGTTTCTCTCTTGTTCCTGCAGTCCATAACTTTCTGACATGCTAGCCAACAGCAGCCAGATTATTCTTGTTTATACTTGTTTTGTTCACATAACTATAACTATAGCCATAACTATAAAGATACTATACTATGTTAGCATCCACACCATCACATGATAAACGCTGTTGATTATAAGTGTGCGCCGAGTTAATTTTCCCTGCAGCTTTAAATGCTCAAGCTCTTTAAAGCAGGACTCATTCTGATTGGCTGTCAATGTTTTTATAGTTCATCAGCTGGAAAGGGACTTTGTTGACAACTAAGCGTTTGAGAGAGGCGAGGCATAGAGGACCTACAATAATGTACAGTATTTGAAAAATAATGTGTTTTTTGAACATTAAAGCATGTCAACATATTCTGTTACACCAAATACACAAAATAATGATCTTTAAAAAAGCATCATATGACCCCTTTAAACTAGTAAACGTACTAAAAAAGGCACTCTTTGGTTTCAGTGGATCAGAGGAACCAGTAGTGCCTGTAAATGGACTCATACTGGTGGATTTTATTATCCAACATGTAGTTTTTGATCTTTTTTATAGTGGAAAATAAGGCGTGAGTTTTATCTGACTTGTCTTTTTTGTTCAGGCAGCTGCTGACCAATTATAGCAGAGAGGAGCAGATTTCAGTTCTTTGAGGACAAATGCTTTCTTTTCCCTCACTTTGTTCTTTTCACAAATGGATTTTAAAATGTTCTGTATGAATGTGTGATTCTGAGGCATTGTGTGTCTAATTCTTGATTCTTTTTATTTTTTATTTTTGTAGTGATAATGTTCGTCCAAAACCAGAAATTCAACAGTTCTGTCAGGACGACTATCGTCAAATATGATTGACAATTAGCATACAGTTTGGATTGGCGGTATGGTTCCGTTCTGGGCAAGAACATCCATGCAGCCTAGCATGGTAATAATATGAAAACTGCTGATACTACTGCTGGACCTTATATATGAATGCTTAGATAGGTGTCGTATTCCCATAGGTTGATGGGGATCAGCTGAGAGTCAGCTGATGCGAGCTTGACTAACGTGACCTGCCAGAACTAACGCTACGCTTGATTTTTAGAGGGCCAAAATCATTGACTGAAATGAGTGCTTCTCTAGTGGTGCGGTTTAAGCTACAAGAAGTAAATATACACCTTCTGTGCTTCACCTCCAATTACAGCCAAGCACTGGAGTAGAAACATAATTATAAAATTAAAAAGTTTATATAAAACTGCTTTATGTGAAATTTAAATGTTTGTATACAGTTTTTATTTGAGTGTTGATAGTAAAATAAATGTAATTATTACATTTTTTAATTAAAAAAAATCTTTTCAGTTTTGTTTTTGGCTAAATAATAATAATAATAAAAAAAACATTAATTTTGGGTCATAATTTTTTTAATTTTTTTTTTTTTTTCATCACTTTTTTTTTTATTAGCACCCACACTGAATACATCCCAAACCATGTTGAAAATGAATTGAGATCGTGAACAGTTTGGATGACTATTTTGAATTTTCATCTTTCTTTCCCTCATACACACTTTAAAAAAGCAGTAGTAGATTGATGAGACTTATGAAAACAGCTCTATGCTAAGTGTGTTGTATGGTTGTAGTATTGAAACTGCTTACTGATGTCATACTGCCTGTTTGTGCCGGAAATTTTAGGAGATTTTTTTATCACCTATAGGTCTTAGTTTTAGGGAATGAAGTTTGGGCTTATGAAGGATGTCCTTGAGTTAAATTAAGTTTGAGAAACCCTTTTGAGACAGCAGCAGTGTGTCTGTGTGTGAGCAGATAATGGCCCATGTTTATCTCCTAGATCAGTGTTTCCCAACTGGGGTGCCGTGTAAAAAATCATTTTTTAATATTTTTAAATTGCTAAAATGTTCAAAAAAGCATCTACTATATAATATCCATTTCTGATGTCGCCAATAATTAGAGATGCACCGATATTTCGGCTGCCGAAAATTAGTTCACCGCTCAGGTTTCACTTTCACGTGGTGGGACGCTCTGCGTATTATCCGCTCTATGCGTATGCGCTCCGCTCAGTCGCTCCACTCGTATACCGTTCATGCTCATCGGAACAGCAAAGTCCACTCAAAAATCGAGCCGACAGGAAACATGGATGTAGTACAGTATTGTTTCTGTCTGCAATAGCCCTACTGTGTTGTAATGGTGTGGTATATGGGCAACTCTGGTAACGCTGCCCTTATTTGTGCTATCATTATTAATTTCTTTATTTGTTCTTATTTTATTAACTGCTTCCTTGTCATTTTTTATTCAATTCAAAGTTTGAAATCAAGCTATCTTGTGCTACTGCAACACAATTACCCCACTGTAAAATAAAAAAACCACTGAGTGAGCAAAAGTTTGTGAGATAGCTAGTTATAATGGTAATTAAATAATGTTTACATATGTATAAAAGCCTACATTAAAATCTGTCATATAAATTGGTCTCTTCATTAGAAATTAGCCTACTGATTGCCACCATTGATGGACAATTTTTTTTTAATAATATTAAAAATGTCTGTATGACATTATATTCTGCAGTTCTTCCCTGTTGTACCGAATATCTATACTTTTCAAATTATCATATCGAAGTTAGAAATTCAAATATTGTGACAAAATAAATTTTGTAGGGTGCCACAAGTTTGTTAAAATTTCCAAAGGGTGTCGCGACTAAAAAAAAGTTGGAAAACACTGTCCTAGATGATGTCTGGCTAGATGAGTGTTTGCCGTCCAGAATTAGACCTGTTGAAATGGACATGCTGTACAACAGGTTGTCCAAAACACCCGTCTATGAGCACATCAGTACATCTCTCAGCTCTTGAATTAAAGGAGTTAGTTCATCCGAAAATGCGCATTCTGTGCTTGATAAATGGATTATTGAAATTACATGGAAAAGAGCAGCATATGAACCTTTAATATCTCCTTTTGTGTTCCACAGAAGATAGAAAGTCTATATTGAGCTAATTGTTTGTTAAACTTGACACTCATATGATTAACAATTCCTTCTATAGTAATTATAATACATTTACATGGTATAATATCTCCCACGCTGCATCCTCAGGGCTCAAAGTGTGAACCAAACCTTTTTAGATTTCATTAATTTAGAATGAATATTAAATATCCATCACCGGCCAAATCCAGAAATATCTCATGTATTCAGAGCAGGTCTGATGGCACAGCAAGTTGAACTTCAGCAGAACCGTGTGTGTGTGTGTGTGTGTGTGTGTGTGTGTGTGTCCAGCTGTGCCGAGCAGCATCTGCGTGAGTCTCGATGGGAGATGATCTGCCGTGTGTGTGTGTGTGTGTGTTGCGAAGGGCTGAGCAGCACACACACACACTCACACACAGATGGACGGGCCCTGGGCAGGCAGACGAGTCGATCAACGCAGAGGACAGATTCAGCCAAGTGCAAATTCATCGTGTTTTTACCGTAGAGGCGCTGTCAGCGCACACACACTCACACTCCTGTAAGCATGCAGATGTGCTTGGTAAATAGGATCCTCTGCCTGCTAGGCCTGTCAGGAGGAAAGTCTTTCCTCGTCTGACCCGGTTATGCTCATATCACCAGAGAGAGCGAACGTCTGTGTGTTTGTTTGGGTTTGATGTTTTCTGCTTGTGTGTTTGTTTATTTCTCCCCTTTGCTAGAGACATGTTGTCTTCCCTCTCGTAGCTCTCTGGAGGAATATTCCTCTGTCTCTCAGGCAGGGACTGCTGTCTGCTGTCCGCTCATGTGCTCAGCTCCAGAGGTTAAAATGTCAATCAGAGAGCGGGAACGTGAGGATGAGGGGAGGGGTGCGGAGGAGATCTCAGGGTGGATCAGAAAAACAGAGACTTTGTTTATTTTTGCATTAGTTTAGTTGTCTAAAAAAATGCTTTGGATACACAAATGTTTGTTATGCCAATAATGTACACAAAACTCAAACTGACAGAGCTTGAGATATGACTCGAGCTCTGTTCAAAAAGTTCATTTTTAGGCATCATGTTTACGGTCCAGTGACTCTTCCAAACAATGGGTGGGCGAAGTTCAGGATACCTGTCATGACCAAGCCATATTTCATCCAAAAACCAAAAGAAAAAAATTATGCATTTTATTTAGCATATACAAAATGAAGCTATATTATTTAAATTAATGTCTTTAAAACGTCTTATCCAAGCTTACCCAGGCTGAATTAATTTGATCAAAAACGCAATAAAAACAGTAATATTCTGAAATATTATTACAATTTAAAACCTCTTTTAATATATTTAAAATATAATTTATTCTTGTGATGGCAAAGCTGAATTTTCAGCAGCCATTACTCCAGTCTTCAGTGTCACGTGATCCTTCAGAAATCATTATAATGTATGTGTGTGTGTGTGTGTGTGTCAAAATTGTGAAGTATTTTGTCATCATGGTGGTATTTTCTGTACTGCCTTCAATGTAATTAAAAACAAAAATTAAATGTGTTAACATGCATAATTATGCTGCCTTTTTTGAAATTTTATGTTGGCCAAGGCAATCATAGAGTGAAGTGTGACAAACTCAGTGGGGAAAAAAGCATTGATAAAAAATAGTTCCATCTACTCAAACTTAGACTCTTAGGGGCCTATGGTTTCAACTTTTCTCAAGCTGTCTTTTTCTCAATACTGAAAAGTATTATGAATTCAATTTGTTAGACATGTTTTTTGATTATTACAATTTTATTAAACCATTAAAATGGAATCCAGCAAAATGAAAACGGAACACACAGGATTTGGGAAACAATAAAACAGATTCCATAGGGCCCTAAACTTTGCACGGTCTATATACTTTCATCACATTGCAAATTTAGTGAAACAACTATTTTGTCACTTAGCTTTTCTCTTTGTCTGTCCACAGGTAGAATGTAAGAAGGCCCAACCAAAGGAGGTGATGTTTCCTCCAGGGACGAGGGGGAGGGCGAGAAGTCTTCCGTACACCATGGATGCCTTCATGCTGGGCATGGGCATGTTGAGTGAGTCTCACATGAGCACACACACACACTCACACTGATGCAAGATGATAACTTGTGATTGGCTGCTAGACCAGAGACAGGTCTGTATGTGAACGTGTCTGGTTAGTTCAGCTCAGGTGCTGTGGGATCCTTCAGACCTGACGAGCAGATAAACGTCTGTATTAATGGCTCAAATGAAGAGGAAAATTAGGCTGATGTTCAGTGTAGCCATCTGCCTGACCTCTGCCCTCGCTAATGACAGCACCACTAAACGAGAAGAACCCATCAGCTACAGGAGACAAACCTGCTGCCAAGATCAGTGCTGTTAATCATTCATAACACTCACAGATATATAATAATATTAATATAGATTTTATAATATACAAGCTTCAGATAACCTTGATATTAATACAAAATATGTTCAACTATGTAATATTTCATATAAGTTGATTTTATCATATTGTTTTTTCATTTTGGATATTTCTTATGTTATTTATATTTAAACTGAAATAAAGAGATAAACAGATTCATTATACTAATGAATAATAATGTATAGAGATAACAATGTGTGTATATGCTAGGGCTGTGCGATTAATCGAAATCATAAAATCGCGATTTGAGCGTGCACGATTTCTAAATCGCTTTATTTTAAACGTGAATATGTCTATGAAAGATTGTATTACTGTACTGTGATAAAAGAGAATCACAATGCTGAAAAAGCATTTTCAGAAACAACATTTGGATTTGAAATCAAAATAATGGATAAATGTTGTGTTTGTGGTAAACAGCCGCGGATCAGGAGAGGACTGCTAACGCGTCCTGTGCGAAAGCAAAATGAGTCCGTGCTGCTTCTGCACTGCATACACATACTGTATACGCACTGCAGACGGAGTACGTGTAAACTTGGCACAACAAATCTAGTTCAACATCTGAGGCAACACCACAAAGAGCTCTATGACCAATGCATGGCAAAAAAATTTTTTTAATTTTTTTTCCCTGCCATAGAGACATTTTGTTACACCTTTACTTAGAGATTATTTTGCCTTATGTCACATGTTATAGCTATTTGATAAAGCTCTAATTGGTTTTCTTTTGGAAATATGTTTCAAACTCTCACTGAATGCATTTATGACTCTAAAGCATGTCTGTGTCAAAATCGTGATTAAAATCAAAATCGCAAAATTTATCAAAGAAATCGCGTTTTTTTTTGTCTATATCGCACAGCCCTAGTATATACACTACTGTTCAAAAGTTCAGTAAGATTTTTAATATTTTTTTACCAAGTTTCTTGTGCTCATATTGCAATTTAAAATACAGTTTCTATTTTAATATACTTTAAAATATAATTTATTCCTGTGGTGCAAAGCTGAATTTTCAGCATCATTACTCAAGTCTTCAGTGTCACATGATCGTTCAGAAATCATTCTAATATGCTGATTTATTATCAGTGCTGGAAATAGTTGTGCGCTTCATGTTTTTTTGGAACCTTTTTTCAGGATACTTTTATGAATATAAAATAAAATAAAAAAACAGCATTTATTCAAAATGGAAAGCTTGTGATACAGTATACACTGCTGTTCAAAAGTTTGGAGTCAGTAAATTGTTTTCTTTTTTTGAAAGTAATGAATACTTTTATTCAGCAAGGATGTGTTAAATGGATAAAAAGTGGTAGTAAAGACTCGTATTGTTAGAAAAGATTTTAATTTTAAATAAATTCTGTTCTTTTAAACTTTTTATTCATAAAATAATCTAGAAAAAGTTTTCCAAAAAAACAAACAAATTGCACAATTGGGGTCTGTCTATATTCTTTTTTTCCCCAATATATATATATATATATATATATATATATATATATAAAGATAAACATTTAGTATTTAAAATACTAATTACATAATATAATTTAATTTTACCATATAGTGTGTGTATTTATTTATTTTTAATATATAAACTGAAATAAGGAGATGCACACATCGCTTATCTTATACTCAACTTTTAACAAAGCGTGAACTTTCTAGAAGTTCTCATGGATTACTGCTGTGGAGGAGGGTGAAGAGAGGAGGAATGGGAGAGAGAGAACAAGACCATGAAGCACTCATGTGAAAATATTAACTCTGGTCTTATCTAAATGAAACTGGAGTGAACAGGACGACCAGACAGAACTTTGCACAATTTGCATATGAAAAAAAAGCTGCAGATCAGGGCTCATTATTTAAGGAACTGTAAGTTTCTTTTATGCCAAATCTCATTAAAGCTGCTGCATTTCTGCTTTTGTTTACCGCAACTAATCGTGTCATTTATCTTTATAGTCGGGCGCCGCATGTATGTTTGCTGAGATTAATACACATTTGAGCAAATATTAGTTTTTTCTGTATTTTTGATTGATTAAATACAGTCTTGATGAGCAGAAGAGACTCCATTAAAACAAAAAAAAATCTTACTGATCCCAAACGTTTGAATGGCAGTGTGTGTGTGTGTGTATATATGTATATATATATATATAAGATCAGGGCTCATTATTTAAGGAACTGTAAGTTTCTTTTATGCCAAATCTCATTAAAGCTGCTGCATTTCTGCTTTTGTTTACCGCAACTAATCGTGTCATTTATCTTTATAGTCGGGCGCCGCATGTATGTTTTCTGAGATTAATACACATTTGAGCTGCTGCCTGCTTCAGCTGGCGCAGATGTATAATTGATTTTAAAGTGAATCTGAGCTGTTGAGCCATAAAATAGGTATATTAGCCTGAACATTAATAATGCAAATCAGTGCCTGATATAGCAGCTGCCAGGAGAGGACCCTGCCCTTTTACCCACAATGCACTGAGATAGGGGTGCTCCGATCAGGATTTTTGAGACCGATCACAGAAAGCAGTATCTGCCGATACGATCACAGATACAGATCTTTTTAAAGCCTTCTTTTTTATCATTTATAACTATAGTGATACTCTAATCAGGATTTTTAGACATTTATTCAGGGCCTGAATTTCATTTTTGAAAATGGGGGGTATTCCCCTCTTAAGTGTCTCTTGTGAGAGGCGAAGCAGCTTTCACACAGGAGTCCGCTACTGATCCGTGGCTGTTTACCACAAACACAACATTTATCCATTATTTTGATTTCAAATCCAAACATTGTCACTGAAAGTGCTTTTTCAGCATTGCATTTCTTTTTTTTACACAGTACAGCAATACAATCTTTCACAGACATGTTTAAACTCAATAAACATAAGCAACACATTATTCTTTCAAATCCAAACATTGTCACTGAAAGTGCTTTTTCAGCATTGCATTTCTTTTTTTTACACAGTACAGCAATACAATCTTTCACAGACATGTTTAAACTCAATAAACATAAGCAACACATTATTCTATGCTTTTTACTTTTGCAATTACTTCTAGATTTATATATTAAGTTGCTCAAGCAAGTGGCAAAACATTTAAACTACTTTTCTTACGTTATCATGAACTTACCATTGACAGTAATAGTCAGCTCTAATGCCTTTCCTTTTGCATTGAAATCTTTATTACCGTATTGACCCGAATATAAGACAATGTTTTTTTCTTGGAAATACATCTGAAAAAACGCTGTCGTCTTATATTCAGGGTCTAGACTTTGACATGTCAATAATACACCCACAACAATAGGTGGCGCCAAATACGCATAAAACGAGTGGGCTATGAAATACGTAATGTAATGCGTGTTTTAAAGATCACGAGTAAAAACTAAAGAAAAAGAAAACCTTACAGCTGCATGAGTCGTGACTGTCACGTTAGCCTGATGGGACCAAACTCCCTTTGTGATTTTAAAACGTAAGACAGTACCCAGATTTGAAGACTACAGTAAGATGTAACTTCTACTGTTAATAAGATATTGGTGGGCTACTATTAGATGGATAGCCTAAATGTCCTAATTCAGATGGGCTACCTGTTTTTTTTTTTTTTTATGGTATATCAAAAAGTGTATATATTTTTTAATGTGGTTGTTGGTACATTTTACCAGTTTTTACCATACTTTCAAAACAAAAATTAAAATAGGAAAAATATGCAATATGAAAATAATTGAAGACAAAATGTGTTTTACTGAGAAAAAACAAGATTTGGTTTTTAAAAAGCCTTTTTCCAAAAGGTACATCTGGAAAAAGGGGGGTCGTCTTATAATCAGGGTCGTCTTATATTCGGGCCAATAGGGTACAAGCAATCTTGCGGTTCATAAAGAATTTTGTTTTACTACCTCCACGAGTGCCATCTATATTCTTGTTTATCTAAACGTGCTCTTTTCCTTTAACCTAGCCAAAAAGCCATATGTGTTGACTGAAACACAGTAGACTTTAATAATATGCATTTATAGTGTAATTACTACATTTTCGTGTCAATCCATGTTCATATTTACTGCAAACAATGCGCTGTTACTTTAATTCATTGCTTGCAGCGCAGCAAAAATAGACTTATATTAAAAATAGCTGCAGACGCACCGCTCATGGAACGCACTGCCGGACCGCAACCGTGTTCAGTGTGCACGCTTTATTAATCCGTTAACATGAGCGCGGAAAAAATAAACACCACATGCGCACTGCAAACGGAGTAATGTGAACCTGGTGTTATGTGTGTGCGCTGCGAGTGTGCATGAGCGCACGGTCTCCAGGAGAGTGCGTGAGCACTGAATGGTTAAACACTGGCAAGAATTAAAAAGTAATGCAATTTATTCATTTTAGTGACGATGTGACACTGCCTCGATTGTGCAAGTGACAATTCCTGTGTCAACTGTGCAGCGTGCAGCTCGCTTATAGACAGACGCGATGTGGTGATTTGAAGACATTCGTGTATTTTGAGAGAGAAAGAGAGAGCGCGCGGAGATTCCCTCACGCTGTTTGTGAAATTACGTCAAAGAGTTTTCAAATTACTTTAAAAGTTATTTAATGAAGAAATATGAAGGTGAGTACCTCACCTTCAGCATTATAATTATTTTACCAGCACCGGACAGAGACTGAGACAGTGCCGCTGCATGTCGTGCCAAACCTCTC